GCATGAATATGTATGTGATATATATAAGAAGAAAGCAAAATCTTTAATATTACCCGCAAATATTACTCCATTTTAATTAAACCTAAACTTTAAGTAAGAAAGATTACCCATATAAAAATAATTACAAATTGCATTCATAAATTAAATTCAATCTGATAAAGATGTTACCGTAACTGTTTTTTACAATATTAAAAAAGTACGATTGGTCGGGTAAACAAACTGTTATAATTTAAAATATTTTTTAATATGTTCTCTATAAATGTGTTAATAAATATAGTACTTAACTTATATTAAATCCCTAAATTATTTGTTTAAAAAAATTAAATATTTAAATTGATAGCAAACATCAAATTAATTTATTCCGGTTTTTTAGACATCTAAATTACTATCAAGCACTACATATATATATATATATATATATACAAAATCAGATCTTCAGAAAGTAATCAGAATCTTAAATACTGTAGAAAACTACTAAGACATTTTACTCTACTAATTCGATTATACTTAAGTCCATGTCACTTTAACAGCTAAATACATATAACAAGAAAATTTCGTGGATTTATAACTTCAAAATTGAAACAAAATTCTCACTTAATTGATTTCAATAAGAACTCTAGCGTTGCGGCATTGCACGCTCCAAAGCATATATTTAACTGTCAATAAATAGCATATTTTAAAAAAACATATTTCGGTCTATACATATTTTTTCTTAGTGTTTGCATATGTATGGGAAAAAAAATTGCGCCCTAACTATGACAATTTGAAATTGTTGAAAGTGCTTGGCATGTGTCTTCTATCTGAAAACAACTCGAATATAAGGATCTTATTATTCGAGGAATTGATAGTAAGTTAATGTCTCATTAAGCATTGTTAGCGAAGTGATTTCGCCATTAATCGCATTAACATTGCTAATTAATTTTTTGTATAAATTCTTTCTTTAACATATATACATACATACATTATTGTTTTCAACACGTACAACGAGTATGACCATCGCTGACAAGTTTGATTCATGATCTTATTTCCCATATGAACTACAGTCGCTCTTGAAACCGGCAATTAACTTTTTGTTTTTTGTTTTTTACTGAAGCTGAAAACTAATTTATTCTGTATGGAACCTGGCCTCTCATGCGTCAGATGATTCCTGTTTGGTTTCTTCAGTTTTTCTAACACATTCTGCATATTAAATTGCTTCCAGTGCAGTATTTATCGTTATTTGTCAAGGGTGTGCCAATATAGCTACAAGGCCTCAATTAAAAAGTAACAAGTGAGGATCGAATTCGCTACTCAGACGTAATTGTTCTTTTTTTTTTTAATCATATCACTACATACAATGCTGTAAAGCCTCTAAGACACCTTAAGTGGGGGGGGGTGAAAGAATAAGAAAAAAAGAAACATTATTAAGGACTGTGAACAATAGAAGAAAAATAAAAATGACAGTAGATAATGATTGACATTGCATTTAAATTTTTGAAGACAAAATTTGGCTAGAGAATGGAACTGGAAGAGAGTTCTACAAGCGAAAAAAATGAGAAAATAAGTTGTTAGTATAGAACTTATGGTTGCATCTAGCCATTTCAACAGTGAGATTTTCCCGCTGATTTAGTACTCAGCTTAAATTCATGATGTCTAGCTGCCATATTGAAGAGATTATTCGAACAATTACCATGAAAGTATTTATGATAACGGCCAAGTAAAGCTACACTACGGCGATGGGAAAGTAATTTAAGCTGAGACAGCAAGTCAGGACCAATAATATTGCTGATTCTTCGGGTTTTATCAAGAATCTCCAAATATCCATCAGAAACACTAAACTATACGTGACAGCAATCTTCAAAGCATTGACAAATGGTAGACTTATAAATATATAAGATGGATTCAGGAAACAAAAATTGTCTGGCACCGCACTGTGAACCAATTTTTTTAACAGCAGACACAGCAGTTGATTTAATATAATCTCTCTACTTTATGTCAGCACAGAATGTTAACCCAAGAAGAGGCAATGATTCGCTCTCCTGGGGGTTAGCATCAGCGATGCTGATAGGAGGCAGAAAGGAATCTCTCAGATGATTAATAGAGAACAGTTTAATTTTGGAGACATTAGCAAGCCATTCGTTGGCCCAGTTAACAACAGACTGTAGGTCATATTTTAGATAATTTGCCAATTTGTCCTAACGATACAAGTTTGCTAGCCATTATACCATGTTGATGTGCTTATATATATATATATATATATATGTGTGTGTGTGTGTGTGTGTGTGTGTGTGTGTGTGTGTGTGCGTGTAATCAGGTATTTTATTTTGTTAAGATTTTATTCTGGCTATTACAGGGTTTTAATAAATGCTATAACATATTTACACTTTTTACACATCGTATACCTTCAAGAGATGGGAGATTATAGTTTTCCTATCTATTATACTCTTACTAATGATTGTCTTTTACGAACCACCCCATTCCCTGTTTTGCCATCCATTTATACAAGCTTCTTTAACTTAAATGTTTCCCTCTTACCTTCTTGATTAAAATATGTCCTCTGAGTGTAAAATTCTCGAAGCATTCTTTCCTCACTATGTGTCTACAAATTTCAACTGTTTCAGTCTGTTTCCAAGTAGAAGTATCACTTTTGTCCCGATTCTCCTTAAGACTTCCAATTTGTTCACATGTTCTGTCTATGGTATTCTCCCTATGGTATTCTTACTACCCTTCTGTAGAACAACATGGATTAATTCTCTATTTCGTTGAGAAGGAAAAAATTCAGGCATTCAGTTCTATATAGAAGCATTGTCATATTATAGTTCAGTTAAACTAACTAAAATCATTTAAGAAATACTCAAAGATCGTGCAAACATTTTACTATTTTAATATTTTTAATTTTACATACTTCAAATATCTTGTTAAAAATAAATAAGACTAAGTAGGTTCGCCGTTTCCCCCGTTCACACTCCTCCCCCGATTTTGAACTGAAGTAGAAATTTATCCCTTGTTTCCTGTTTATGGTCGGGTTTCCTATTTAGGGTTAGGGTTTCCAGTTCCTTCTAAAGTCTATTTTATTTCACTCCCAGTAGTCTCTTGTATCTCTTAGTGGCATTAGTGCCTTGCTTGGGGTGAATTGATCAAAGAAAAAACATTCCTACTTGCAATGCGTTCAATTGTCTGACTCATCAGGCGTTTCGTTTTACGCTTTACCAGTAACAAAATTATATGTAAATATTACCTATCGAACTTCAAAGTACTCCGCAGTCAATTTTATGATTGAAAGTTCAGACTACGACAAATAATATCAATTGCTCAAAATTGGCAATACTATTGGTCTTGACCTGGTGTCTCGGCTTTTTCATGTTATGACCCTTCAGCTCGTAGACAATCATAACTCTCCACTGATTCCTTTTCTTTATTATTTCTATTCATTATTTCTGTAATCAAATCCTAACTAAAATGCTTAAGCATCTAACCTGGCAAGGTCTTCTATCAGTCAAACAATATGGCTTTTGCTTCTCTAAGTTAATTGCTGGTGTGTTAATGGTTATTACTGAATTAGTCTATTAAGCTTTAGATAAGAATGGTAAAACTCGGACTGTTTCTATGGATATCTCGAAGGCGTTTGACATATTTGAAAGAATATGGTATTTCTGGATGAATGTTTGATCGGGTTAACTCTTGAAAGGCATTCTTCTACATTTGCTTTGCATTAATGCTGGTATCAACCAGGCCTTTCCTCTTAGACCTAACTTGTTCCTAATTTTCATCAATGACCTTCCCGATGCCATCAGTTCTCAGTTCGGTATCTATGCTGATGACACATCTATTTACTCTGCCTTAATGTTAATTCTGATCCATTCGATTAGATCAAAATCTGTTGTTAACTGAAGCAAGAAATTGTTTATTAATTTTAGCGCCACCAAAATGAAATTGATTCTAACCTCCAGGAGAGTGGATCAATGCGCCTTCTAGGCTTAACATTTTTCGCTGACATGAACTGCGAATATTATATTGAATCAATTGCTAAATCTGTTTCAAGGAAAGTGGGTACACTGTATTGTGCAAGATAATTTTACTCGCCGGAATCTATCTTACACAATATGTCGAACATTAATTTATCTGATCTAGTGCTTCTGCTATGTATTTGGAGTTTCTTGATAAAACTCAAAGAAGAATCTGCAATATTATTGGTCCTGACCTGGCATCTCGGCATCAGACACTTTCCCAGTGCCATAATGTGGCTTCCCTGTACTTTTTCTATTAATATTTTCATGGTAATTGTAGTGATGAATCTTTCATTTTGTTACTTTATGAATTTAAGAGTAGTATTAGATTGGCAGTTAGGTCTCATCAGTTTACGATTGGAATGGCCAGAGGTAATCGTGAATTCTATGCTATCAGTTTCTTCTCTCGCACTTCTCGCGTGTGGAACTTTTTTGCTTTCCAGTCAACGTTGATCTTCAAAATTTAGGTGAATGTCAATTATCTTTTGTTTTCTTTATTCCTGTTCTTTTATAGCGACCAGCAAATAACTTTCTGATACGGAAAGATTTATCCCTAAAAACGCATGCGTGTGCGATGCACGTTCCAACAATGATTTTATAAACATAAAACAAAAAGGTGACCAGAGTTTTACTGAATGCTGGAAATAAATTTATACTCTTTCTAGTGAATATGGTGGTTCTTGTATGTGTGTGCATGAACGTGCCTGCCAATATGTTTATATGTCTGTTTACGTGTGCATCAACATCTGGGTGAGAGCGTGTGCATGTGTGTGTCTGTGAGTATGTGTGTGCGTTTCTCTGTGTTTGCGTTTCTCTGTATGTGCGTGTATATCCGTTTCCTTGTAAATCTGCGTGCGTTTTATGTGTCCACATTTATGTATTTTCGTACGTATATCTGTGCGTGTGTGTGTGTTTTATTGTTTCAATAAAAGCATCATTGTAAATACTAGATAATTAAAATAATTTTGGTAGTGGCTACCTTTGAGAAAACTAACAAAGCTGTTATACATTGCCATGGTGATCAATCCTTCTTTGAAACATATCTATCTCTCCCTATCGTACTCTCTCTCTCTCTCTTTGTGCGTGTGCGCGCGAGCGCGCGCGTGTGTGTGTGTGTGTGTGTCCATCATTGTTGTTTAATGAATTTTCATGTTGGTGATGTAGCACACTAATTAAGTACAAAAGAAATGAATAGTTTGTTTTAAGTACTCATTCAGAGCTTCTGATGTGTAACAAACTATAGGCACAGTTTTACTTTTATTGTCTTACGAATAATAAAAGTTTTATGTTCGTTCAGTATAAAGCTTACATTGGGAACTGAAAATGAATCATTATTTGTATTATTTTCAGTTATTTTAATGTCATCATCTTTATTTTTAATATCAAATCATTTTAACAGTTGTGCTCTACGGCCTTCTCTAGGCATCTGTTAATCCGGATAATAAATACCATATATAAGCGGTTTCTTCAGCACCAAAGAAAACAATTTCGGTAAAAGCCTGTTTGTTTAGCAAACCTCCCCATTATCTTCTATATTTGGCATTGTGTATTTTTCTCTTCCACCACAAGTTAATCGTTTAGGCAGAAATTACCATAAAGGTGCACATTCTGTGACACTCTTTGCCAAGTACTTTCGAATGTTTGCTATCTTTTCAAATCAGAGAACTAGGGTATCAATTATCCGGAATGACAGGAACCTGAAGAAGACCGGAAAACACAAAGACCAAAAGATTATCATACTGAAAAAACAAAAATCGACATTTTCTTATATGTGCTGTGACCATTCAGGATGGTGTGATCATGGCTCTCCACAATTTTCTGTCTTTTGTAGCTCTTAACAAATTTAGTCCTTTTCTTATTTCTCTACGCCCTGTTCTTTCATCCATTTACTCAAGTTCGCTAGGTAGATTATGCGTGGTTACCTTTGTCCATACTCAGACTTCAAATTATCCTGTGGGTGTCAAATTTTCTAACTCTACTTTCCTCATTATGTGCTCTAGAAATTAAAACTGTTTTTCTCTGATGTTGATTATAAATGTTTTTTTCTTTTCTATGATCTCTGAAATTTCATCGATGCTCGCATGCTCAGTCCATGTTACTCTCAGCATCCTTCTGTAGAACTAGATTTCTGTTGCTCTTTCATCTGTGAGGTAATTGACCAACATTCAATGCCATATATATAGATTTACTGATATTTCATAATAGATTAGTACTTCTTTCTTTCTAATGATTTTTTGTCTCTTAATTCCTTGCTTAGCTTTTGGAAGGCATCTTTCACTATCCAATGCACCTTCGGATTTCACTGTTACGCTTTCTGTTCCCTGTTAAAACAGTTCCCGAACATTTAAATTGTACTTGTTTGATTTTGGTATCTCCAATTTGTAATATTCCTTTTTGCTAACAACCATGCATTGTTCTTCTTGTAATTGATGTTCACTCCTGTCTTTTTGTATTCCTTCACTAATTTCTAGAATAGTTCTTGCAGTTTCCCTTCTGCATCCGCTATCAACACTACGTTAACTGTATATCTTATGTTGTTAAAATTGTGGCCACTAATAATGAATCCTGATAGAACTTCTAATTCTCTCAGAATCTCCTTACTGCATAGATTGACTAAATCCGGTGAAACGACACATCCTTGTCTTACACCCCTTTCTATTTTTGTATATTTACTGAACTGATTTTCTGTCCGAATGCAGGCGGTTTTCTGCCAGTAGAGGTTCTGGATTATTCTAATATCCTTTCCAAATATGCCAAGGTTACCTAGAGGTTCCAGTAATTCTTTGTGACGTACTTTATCAAATGCTTTTGCATAATCCATAAGATACAGGTACAAATATCTTCTGCATTTGTATTGCTCTTTCTGATAACATTCTGAGCATAGATATCGAATTCCTTGTTCGTATGTCTTTAAAGAACCAGCACCGTTCTGGCCCTATTTCAGGTCTAATTCTCTTGTGCGCTTCATTTATGATATGTCCCGTAAACGGATATATTTGTTCGAAGTAGCAAAGTAATTGTTGACTACTGTAACCGGGTAGGACAATCTAGCAGGTAACCATAATGGACTGGTCCTCGTCGTAGTGGTAGGCAATAGGCGTAGGCAATAGGTGTAATCCCTGTACCTCCACATCAGTCTGTATTTATGGCTGACACCAGCCAATCATATTACTGTGAGTGGAAACCCAGGTGTATGCATATTTATTACATCAATTTACCAGAATTCGAATGATAAGTTTTGTTATATAACTCATCTGGCTGATTGTCCGATAGAGTTCATATTTGTTTGCACCTAGCTTCTTTCGAATTTCTACGAAAATGGATCTACTTAGGTCTCCCAGTATATTACCATTGTTGTATATTTCATTTATTATGTCTATAATCAGCATCTATAATGGTCTTGATGCTTTGTTTCTGTTCAATTTGGACAGTGCTGATTTCACTTCAGATTTTATTATTTTCTGGTCTTCAACATTTAATTGTATTGCCGGTTGTCTTCTTTCGTCGTGGAAGAGTTCGTCTATACTTCCAATCTTTCCATCTCTGATACTAAAAATAATAAAAATAATGATAACTCGGCTTCAGTCACTTCCCCACCGCCGTAAGGTTGCCTCCCTGTGTTTTTTCTATAAATACTTTAATGGTAATTGTTCGGATGATCTTTTCACTATGGTACCGAGACTTTTTTAATTTAAGCTCAGTACTAGACTGGCGTCGATATCTCATCAATCTACAGTTGAGCTGGCTATATGTAACCGCAAGTTCTATGCTAAGAGTTTCTTTTCTCGCACTTCTTGCATGTAGAACTTCCTTCCGTCTTCATGGTTTCCAGTCAATTTTAATCTACAAAAAAAAATTAAATGCCTAGACAATCAATATCTACTGATTAATCTGATTAATTTTTCCTCTTCCTTATTAATGTTTCTGTTCCTAATTCTTCCTCGCCAAGTATCCTCTTGTGTCTTAGTGGCTTTACTGCTTTGCAAGGGGTGATACCAATTAGAAAAATAGCACTGTTAAAATGATAATAGTAATTTAGACTAAAAAATAATCCTTAGTTAATCCTTTTTAATTGGGTAAGTGAATTCCTTCATGTCAAAAATCTCATCAGTCATCCAATAGTTTTTCTTTCTTCGTCTTTTCTCCTTTGGGATGATATAATTTGCTAATATCACTAAAGCGTCTCTTAGTGCGTCCCATTTTGAGTTTCCGTTGTGTGTCTGGTATCTTCTCTTCACATTGTCCATATATTTTCCTTTTAGGTTAGGATCGCTCAGGAGTTTGTTGTAGGGTCTGGAGAATCTGATACTCACGTATCGAATGAAGGGAAAGAGAGACAAGAGAAAGCAGCTTGTGATATTCCAAGCGAGCTTGAACAGGTTGATAACAGAACGTGGTCTGGAGAAGGTGGCACAGGAAAGGAACTTGATTAGGGCTACAAGGGATAGAGGGAGGTGAGGAATCATGATCGCCTACATCCTGAAAGGACGTGGCACATAAATAAATAAAAAGTGAATTCCAAACGTACTTTATTATGTACTTAAACCGTTATCGCTATTTTACTTACATGCAGCAACAACAAGCTGTGTTATTATTTATCTAAGTCTGGTGTTTAGTTACTATAAAAAGATAATTCAATAACGACGTATATATAAAATACATATACGAAAAAGAAAGTTAGAGTTTTTAATGGTTTTTATTTTAAGCCAACTAACTCCCGGTAAAACCTGTTAAAACACCATGCAACAACAAAAAAGGGAAATCATATACAATTAACAGGTTCCTTTTCACAACATATATTTTGCCATCTCCTTTTTCATCCCTTTCCGTTTTACAATTCTGATTTCATTTCACTATTCGCCATATTTTCTAATATCAGAAAAATATGAAAAACCATATCATTATGCATGCAAATAATGCGATAGTATTTGTACTAGAAACTACAAATAAAACATAATGCAAAATAGTTATTTTTTCTAAAATTTTCAGACATACCGTTATCAACAGTGACTAAAATAAATGTCTAAATTCTAAAAATAACAATCACTCGATACAAACCTCAATGAAATTGCCAAACTGAAAGATAATCTAATAATTTAGACAAAAAGTAGCAACATATAAAAACTGACAAAACCATTATTAAAAAAAATCACTGAAGTACTTTCAAAATGATAAAAAATGTTATATTTATATGTATGATTTTACAGATTCAAAATCAACTGAAGAAGTGTAAACCTCAGTTTCATAGAAAGTTGTTAAATTTGAGATTTACTTTTCAAAATCGTTTCCCATCTTAATAGAGTTTTTATGAGTTCCGCCAGATAGAACACGATTGCAAAGCTAAATATCATGAAACAAAAAGATATGAACATAAAGAATTTCTTAAAATAGATTCGATAAATTAACTTTCTTAAGAGCGATTGTAATTTTAGCGATACGGATTAAACTTATTTTACTGATTTTAGTAATTCCATTATTTAGATAATTTAAATTATTTTAGGAACTAGAATATTCCTCCAATTTTATTGATTACTCTGTAGGACAATTCCAAAGGTATTTGTAAATATCACTGCCACTGTTATGATTTTTTTTTAAGTTTTATGACAACATCCATATATAATTGCTTAGCCTTACTCTTCCTTTTATCTTCAATTTGTGGATTGCCGGGTTTTTTTGGTCATTACTCCGTTTTCTTTTAATTTATTTATTTCTTAAGTAAGGATTAAATATGGCCTCTTTACCTGGGGCAGGCGATTTGTTTAAATTTAAAAATCTTAAAGAATGTAATATTTTCAGTCATTTTGTATAACATTTCAAAATTGGATATACCATCATTGATTCCATAATCAAAACTTACGAGTACACATTTCATTGTGTAGGACTTTTTCTATCCACATTCATAGAAAATTATTATTATTATTGTCATCATCATCATCATTCGATTTCTGCTATGGACACACTACCTACCAAGTCTGCGGAAAGACCTAAGGCAGGTCGTGGTGTGTTGTTATGGCCACATTTCATGTTAATTTTTTTTTTTTTTTTTTTTTTTTTTTTTATCTCCGATGAAGTTGCTAGCGTTACATAGACAAAGTTCTCCTTAGTGTGTGTGCTGTACTTAATAAGACAATTTTCTGTATGTCTCTTAAGCTGGGGTTTCCAGGATTCTTTCAATGTGTTGTTTGTTCCATATTTTTTATTATTATTATTATTATTATTATTATTATTATTATTATTTCTGCTATGGACACACTACCTACCAAGTCTGCGGAAAGACCTAAGGCAGGTCGTGGTGTGTTGTTATATACATTTCATGTTAATTTTTTTTTTTTTTTTTTTTCTCCGATGAAGTTGCTAGCGTTACATAGACAAAGTTCTCCTTAGTGTGTGTGCTGTACTTAATAAGACAATTTTCTGTATGTCTCTTAAGCTGGGGTTTCCAGGGATTCTTTCAATGTGTTGTTTTTTTGTTCCATTTTTATAATTCCAAGTGCACCTATTACCACTGGTATTATTCTTGTTTTCAATTTCACATTTTTTCTATTTTCAATTTCCAGGTCTTTGTATTTTGATAGTTTTTCAAATTCCTTGGTTGCTATGTTACAATCCGCTGGATGTTTTCATATCAATTAGTAGGCAAGTTTTTTCTTTCTGGTTTTTGACAATAATGTCCGGCCTATTTGCTTCAATTTTTATTATTATTATTATTATTATTATTATTATTATTATTATTATTTCTTCTCATTTCTGGCGTATAATTTATGTTTGGGTCCCAACCAGAGACTTAAGTTCAGAAATGGCATCATATCATGTTCCATTGAGCATTTTTGAGGGAAAATGAAACAAAACAAAAAAAAAACCTAAACCCACACACATTTTACACAGATACAGCCACTAGTAAGGTGTGTTCTGTACTTGTGAGAACAAATTTTGTGTTTCTTTTACGCATGGGCTGCCAGGAATTCCATCAATGAATCTATCGGAATCTTTTCAGATCCGTCCGAGGCCACCAAAGTTATTATTATTATTATTATTATTATTATTATTATTATTATATTTTCTTTGATATCTGGAATTGTTAATGTCATCATGTGTCACCTTTTTTAGATTTCGATTTCAAGATCCTTGTATATTGGTAGTTTTTGAAGATCTTCAAAAATAGATTACAGTCTGCATGGATTGCCATGACAATAAGAAGCACATTTTCTTTTCTCGGTCTCTGATCATGATGTCCTATCTCTGTAATCGGGGTCTGGGTGGTGTTCATACCAGTTTCTTGCACTTTCCTTTCCGCAAAAATTGCAGATTTTCCAATACAGATATTAACCCACTCTGTCATGCCGGGTTTCATATTCAGGGAATACCAAGACCGTGCAAGCTGATTCAAGATGATCGATTGCTTATGGATATTTATCACAGAATCTCCATTTTGGGCGAATACAATTTTTCAGCATGTGTGCATGGCAGTTTCTTGTTCGTAAGCATTGGTTCTGTGCAACAAGAATAAAACCTTCGGTTTCAGCTTTTAACCCTGCACTACGTAACCACTGATATGTACCTGGTTTTTCTACATCAGCCTGTTTGGTACGGGAAGAGTATTGACCATGAAGAAGTTTATCTTGCCATCGGTTCTGTATCTGGTTGGTTACATTTGCCTTTTCTGTCTTCTAAAGTATTTTGCAGCTGCAGTCTGTGTATTATGTACTACTTGCATTTCTCCTCTCATTTGAAACTCTATTTTGAATTTGTTGGATTCCTTTATTACGGAATAACGTTTCTTATTTCTTTCGTGTTCTTTGACACAGATCATCATTCAGTCTTCTGTATCTTTCAGGTATCTTTGAAGACTAATTTTTGTAGTTTTGTAAAACAGTTCTAGTTAAACTAACACTGCTTTCTTTGTATCTGAACATTGTTTAGACATTTAGATATTTATCAAACCTTAACCTCCCAAATATGCACGTTAAAGTAACGCAAATTAACAGCGTCTAAGAATTTGAATGAAATATGTCGTATAATTGATTGGGGTTGTAGCTTCTTCCTTTAATGTCGGTCTTATATCTAGAGACGAGACGCGTTAAATTTGAGCAACATCTAGCCGACACACTAGGGTTAAAAATAGGAAATTGAAATGATACATATGACACACTCACTTCCTCACTTCGTTAATTTTACGTATATTTGATGAGGTCCGTCAAAAACGGGTGAATTTCTTTTCATTTTTCATTTCAGCTTTTGGAAGTAAAGTCTGATGATCCAGAACCCTTTTAAAGGGGTTGTGGTGAAATAGCTTATTACATGGAATCTTAACGTGGTCTGTTTTTTATTCAATATATATATATATATATATATATATATATATATATATATATATATATATATATATATATATATATATATGGACGATCAAAATTAACCTTAGGATGATGCATGCGGTGGCAGGTTAGAAGCTTTCTCTGTTTGGTGTCCATCCGTTTAATATCATCTCTGGTCAAGTCAAGGATGTTGAAACTGTATTGCCCGACAGAGACAGTCAAGTTGTTTATGGCTGATATTTTTTTCTTTCTTTTTTTCTTTTAAATATTTTTGAGTATTCAGTACCAGACGCATATGTCTGTAGTACTCCTTTCTTACCTTCTCTTTCATTTGGGTATACTGTATTCCATCTCCTTCACTAATTACAAGGCACCTATAGGCTTCTTCTTGTTCCAGTTCCTTAATACTTGCGACAAAATCTAAATCTATTGAGTGTGTTTCTGCAATTCTTCCTTTCTTGAATGCTACCTTTACAAATTTATCTAATCAGAAATTCCTACTTATTTCATCACTGAAACATTATGCAGTATTGCGAAGTCCCTTCAACTCATTGTCGTCTTTGGCAAAGATTTTGATATCATCCATGTAGAGTAGGTGATTGAATACTTTATTGTTTACTTTGTAACCATAGCTATTATTGTTTAGTTCTTGCGTTAGTGGGGGGGGGTTAAGGACACAAAACAGAAGGGGTGACAAGGAGTCTCCTTGAAAGATTCCTCTTCGGATATTCAGGCGGTTGGAGGTGGCTGTGCCTCTGGTGTGATTTAGGTATAATGTGGTGTTCCACATTCCCATGCTGTGTTTAAGGAAATTTCCTTTTTTTCACCGAGGAGTCTTTGTACATTTTCAAAGTCTGAAGGATTCAGGAGTGCAGCACACTATCAAAGGCTTTACGTTTATCTATCCATTCTATAAGTTTTTCTACCTATTTTCCTGCTGTTTTCCAGTCTCATTTTGTTTATCAATAGTCAATCTTTGTAATCATATGAAGCTCTCCTACATCCCTTCTATTCTAAGGGAAGAATGTTGTTTTCTTCAAGAAAATAGTTCGTCAGGACAGACGTGATCAATTTAAACGTGATGTACAGACATAATATAATTTTCGGATCATCAGTTTCACCCGTTTTTGGTAGGAGATATGTAATACCTTCAGTGATCCATTCTGGAACTTCATTTTTTTTTTTAAGCGTTTCACCCCAAGCAAGGCGGGAAGCCACTAGGACGCAAGGGGTTAGAGAAGATTTGGAGCAAGATCAGATAGGAGTGATAGAGGAAAGGATGAGGAGAAGGATAGTGGATAGATCAAGGCAACTGGAGATGTCGATTGACATTACATTTGAATAGTTGGAGATTATAGCTCTCAGGGATTACATAATGTTTCTTATGGATTGATGACCGATGACAGACCAAAAATTGGGTAACTTGTCATTTCCTGGGTATTTCCATTTTTGGGATTTAGTTAGAGCTTGCTTAATATTAGTCATGCTTATATTTTCCCATTCTTGTAGAGGTTCGTCCATCATTTTTTCTTCTCGTTGCATCCACTCTGCATTGGAGTTATATCACTTTGGGCAACTCCAAATATTCTTACAAAATTTCCGCTCATTATTATTATTATTATTATTATTATTATTTTCTTTGATTTCTGGCGTTTACACATTTCTTTCCGGGTCCCGCCCAGGAACCTAAGGTTAGAAATGGCATCATGACACTTTCCACTTACAAAAAAAAATATTACATAGATAAAGCCCTTCGTAAAGTGTGGGCTGTACTTGTCAGAACAATTTTTGTATTTCCTTGAGGCATGGACTTCCAGGAATCCCTTCAATTAGTCTCCTGCAATCTTTTCCAACCAGTCCTAGGGCTCCAACTACTACTACTATTATTATTATTATTATTATTATTATTTGCTGTTGTTGTTATAACAATTTTCTTACATGGGAATATTATTCTGATTATCTCAATTATACTCAAATGTCTATTTCTTAAACTTATTTATAACATTACGGACTATACTGTGGCACACAATTTACACACGCTCCTAAATTTTCTCTAAACCCTGTACTAACTTTAAATGAAGCTAGTTTGCACAATAGATAAATAAATAAATATCATAAACTCCGTACTTGATGGCGTTGAACTGTTGAGTGAATAAGAAAAATAGTAAGATGAGCAAAGCACCGGGAAAACATTTATACATTAGGTGAATAAAAGAAGCTAAAAAGAAAGAAGGAAAAAAAAGAAAGAAAGAAGTGATGACCATGTTGTTTGGAAACAGGGTGAAGAGCATAAAGGCAGTTACAAAAAGAGGATTAAGCTGTCTGATGATAGCGTTGACAACATGTATTTTACGGTTGGCTTCGTTTTAGGGCAGAGAATACACCGAGTTCACTTTTTATGAGTTCCCACGCACCCATCCACATTCGGTAGTATCATCAGTGGAGGAATACATATGAAAGGTTGCGTTGTATGCATGCATGACTGCCGCTGGAATTGGCTATCTTTTTATTTACCAATTGTACAAGTTTTTAGGTGTGTCTCTCAAAGTTTTTATCTACCTACCTACTTGTTTACCTTTGTATTTATTTATATATTCATGCATCTATCTATCTGTCTGTCCCTGTCTGCATTAGTTCGTCCATATCTATCTATCTATCTATCTATCTATCTATCTATCTATCTACCTGACTATGTCTCTTTCTCTGTCTAATTCTGTTTCTATCTATCTATCTATCTATCTATCTATCTCAGTTCGCTCATATCTATTTCCTCTATATGCACTATCTATATCTCAGTTTATTCATAACTATGTATCTATGTACGCAAGTATGTGTGTATGTATCTATCTATATCTGTTTCTATCTATCTATCTATCTATCTATCTATCTATCTATCTATCTATCTATCTATCTATCTATGCCCATTTCTATCTATCTATCTATCTATCTATGTCTGTTTCTATCTATCTATCTATCTATCTATCTATCTATCTATCTCAGTTCGCTCATATCTATTTCCTCTATATGCACTATCTATATCTCAGTTTATTCATAACTATGTATCTATGTACGCAAGTATGTGTGTATGTATCTATCTATATCTGTTTCTATCTATCTATCTATCTATCTATCTATCTATCTATCTATCTATCTATCTATCTATGCCCATTTCTATCTATCTATCTATCTATCTATGTTTGTTTCTATCTATCTATCTATCTATCTATCTATCTCAGTTCGCTCATATCTATTTCCTCTATATGCACCATCTATATCTCAGTTTATTCATAACTATGTATCTATGTACGCAAGTATGTGTGTATGTATCTATCTATATCTCTGTTTCTATCTATCTATCTATCTATCTATCTATCTATCTATCTATCTATCTATCTATCTATGCCCATTTCTATCTATCTATCTATCTATCTATGTCTGTTTCTATCTATCTATCTATCTATCTATCTATCTATCTATCTCAGTTCGCTCATATCTATTTCCTCTATATGCACTATCTATATCTCAGTTTATTCATAACTATGTATCTATGTACGCAAGTATGTGTGTATGTATCTATCTATATCTGTTTCTATCTATCTATCTATCTATCTATCTATCTATCTATCTATCTATCTATCTATCTATCTATGCCCATTTCTATCTATCTATCTATCTATCTATGTTTGTTTCTATCTATCTATCTATCTATCTATCTATCTCAGTTCGCTCATATCTATTTCCTCTATATGCACTATCTATATCTCAGTTTATTCATAACTATGTATCTATGTACGCAAGTATGTGTGTATGTATCTATCTATATCTGTTTCTATCTATCTATCTATCTATCTATCTATCTATCTATCTATCTATCTATCTATCTATCTATCTATGCCCATTTCTATCTATCTATCTATCTATCTATGTCTGTTTCTATCTATCTATCTATCTATCTATCTATCTCAGTTCGCTCATATCTATTTCCTCTATATGCACTATCTATATCTCAGTTTATTCATAACTATGTATCTATGTACGCAAGTATGTGTGTATGTATCTATCTATATCTGTTTCTATCTATCTATCTATCTATCTATCTATCTATCTATCTATCTATCTATCTATCTATGCCCATTTCTATCTATCTATCTATCTATCTATGTCTGTTTCTATCTATCTATCTATCTATCTCAGTTCGCTCATATCTATTTCCTCTATATGCACTATCTATATCTCAGTTTATTCATAACTATGTATCTATGTACGCAAGTATGTGTGTATGTATCTATCTATATCTGTTTCTATCTATCTATCTATCTATCTATCTATCTATCTATCTATCTATCTATGCCCATTTCTATCTATCTATCTATCTATCTATGTCTGTTTCATCTATCTATCTATCTATCTCAGTTCGCTCATATCTATTTCCTCTATATGCACCATCTATATCTCAGTTTATTCATAACTATGTATCTATGTACGCAAGTATGTGTGTATGTATCTATCTATATCTGTTTCTATCTATCTATCTATCTATCTATCTATCTATCTATCTATCTATCTATCTATCTATGCCCATTTCTATCTATCTATCTATCTATCTATCTATCTATGTCTGTTTCTATCTATCTATCTATCTATCTATCTATCTCAGTTCGCTCATATCTATTTCCTCTATATGCACTATCTATATCTCAGTTTATTCATAACTATGTATCTATGTACGCAAGTATGTGTGTATGTATCTATCTATATCTGTTTCTATCTATCTATCTATCTATCTATCTATCTATCTATCTATGCCCATTTCTATCTATCTATCTATCTATCTATGTCTGTTTCTATCTATCTATCTATCTATCTATCTATCTATCTATCTATCTATCTATCTATCTATCTATCTATTTTCTATCTATCTATCTATCTATCTATGTCTGTTTCTATCTATCTATCTATCTATCTATCTATCTATCTATCTATCTATCTATCTATCTATCTATCTCAGTTCGCTCATATCTATTTCCTCTATATGCACTATCTATATCTCAGTTTATTCATAACTATGTATCTATGTACGCAAGTATGTGTGTATGTATCTATCTATATCTGTTTCTATCTATCTATCTATCTATCTATCTATCTATCTATCTATGCCCATTTCTATCTATCTATCTATCTATCTATGTCTGTTTCTATCTATCTATCTATCTATCTATCTATCTATCTATCTATCTATCTATCTATCTATCTATCTATGTCTGTTTCTATCTATCTATCTCTGTTCATATCTACCTTTCTCTCTACTCACCTCCGTCTATATCCATTTGTATACATTTACGTAAGAGCTGTGAATGGGGAACAGTGATTAATGCATTTTTTTAAGGTGTTGATAAGGAGATCCATTTCCAATGGAGATAGTAGGTTTGTTTCGTGTCAAAATCAAATTTAACAATCACCTTTCTCTATGCACAGGTTCTTGGTTATATAATTACAAGACTTCTGGTAGGGGTATACCTTAAATTTGGCAATGCCCAAGTAAATGAAAATGATACCGTTATTAGTATCAGTTTGTGGTTTTTCGCGATATTTGTCTTTTTGTACAGCCCAAGCGCGTTAGGTATGTTGCTTGATGTTTTTCCTGTACCCTCTTGATTTCCGTATGTCTTGTAAGCGTTAAATTCTCCGAGCCCTCTTTCTTCATTATGCGTCCTAGAAATTTGAGCTGCCTTTTACTGATTCTAAATTTTAGTTTCCTTGTTTTTCCTTATAAACTTCCTTGTTATTCACATTATCCATCTATGGTACTCTGAGAATCCTTCTGTAGAAAAACATCTTCAAGTTTCCTTTTCATCTGTGAATAAATTGTGCAGAAGTTTTGCAGTATAAACTGGACAATTTCTTCATATATATGATATTAATCAAATCTCTTTTCACTGGGTATTTATATAGATATATTAAGAATATTTCCTAGAATAATCTTGCTTCAGTGACATTGGTTTACACTTTCAATTCCTGAACACGGTTAAAATTTCTACTCATAAAAAACTGTCATAGTTACATCTATGGACAACTGGTACTACAAGTTTCTCTTAATAACCTTGTAGTTTGCACTTTGTAAAATCTTTAGTCAGGTGATACCTATATTTTCCGATCATTAACTATTAATCAGTCTTCATTTTTTCATAAACGGCATTAATTAATTAAGCATTTTATTAATCATTAATATGTCCGTCTTAAAAGAATTATGCCATAGGTTTATACATTTGTATGAATGCAATAATTAAGTAATTGTTTCTGTTTTTTTGATTTTATTTAACCGTATTGATATTGTTATATACCTAAAAAGAAAAATGTTTCCAATTACATTTTTACTTTGTAGGGAGGTAGAAGAAACAAGGGAAAGAGCAACTAATCTAACTAGTATAAATGGCAAGAAGACAAAACTTACTAAGAGCTACAGACGACAGGGTATTAAGGAGAGTCATAATTACCCACCTTGTAAAGGACACGCCATATAGAAGATATTTTACTAGGATTAATTATTTTTATTTTATTTTCTCCTTTTTATGGCTGTTATTACACAAGTTAATATTTTCATAATTATACTGATATTTTGCCAGACTAGTTACACATAAAAAATAATAAAATACATTCACGCACATATACACATGACCAGAAAATTGAACTGGTCAGTACTGACCTCAGTGCCCACTTTTATATTTACATACGTTCTATCTTAGATATCTAGGACTTTTACACATAAATATAGTATACATTAAAAATATAATTTTATCATATATATATATATATATATATATATATATATATATATATATAGAGAGAGAGAGATAAATAGAGAGAGAAAAATGCTGATACCTCTATATGCGTGAACCGAACAATTATAAAAAACGTTTCACCTACGAGATTCTAGAATCGAGCTGCTGAATATAACATTAATCAGCTAAGTGACGTATCTGATAGGTTTATTAATCCTATATATATATATATATATATATATATATATATATATATATATATATATATATATAGTACAGGTAATCGATCAGTTGGTATATAATCCGGGTGACTCCTAGTAATACTAATTATTAAAACTGATCAACAGAGAGCTTGATGTTTTTATTTCAATAAAGCATATGTATTTTTTCAATAAAGCATATGTATTTTTTTACAGCAAAAAAACGAAAATTACCTCAATATAGAGATAGTCTATTTCAAGCCATTCTGTGCGCTGCAATCATCAGCCCCTTAGGTAATTTTTGTTTTTTTGCTGTAATATATATATATATATATATATATATATGTGTGTGTGTGTGTGTGTGTGTGTGTGTGTGTGTGTGTGTGTGTGTGTGTGTGTGTGTTGGTACTCGTTTGGAAAAACCAGGAATAGCTCTACTTGCAGTAGAACAAATGAGGAAAAATGGAAAATAAAAAAATAATCAAAGAATCAAAAAAAAAATAATAATAATAATAATAATGTGCGGAAAAAAAAGTGTTTAAGCTCCAGGTCCAAAGAAAAAAAAACTAAAACGAGTAAAAGAGTAAAAAGACAACTACCTAAAGTGCTCAATACAATAAGTAGAGCGATAACCTAAAAAGTAATCCTAAGGAGCCAGGCAAATCTACCTAGGTCTCACCTAAACGGATCTTCAAGCTTTACCCTGACGATCCGTTTAGGTGAAACCTAGGTAGGCTCCTTAGGATTCCTTTAGGTTATATATATATATATATATATATATATATATATATATATATATGAATCGGCTGACGATTGCGTTCAAGCATAAAAAGATAGTTGCCGTTTGATATTGTCTTCAATGTGCACTTTTATATTTACATACACTCTATTCCTGATATTGAGCACTTTAAACTATAAATATAGCATACCTTTAAAGTATATTTTTATCATATATATATATATATATATATATATATGAATTAATTAAAAAATATGTTTGATCAGTTGGTCAGATTTCTGAACGTTGACTGGACCGAGAACTTTTAAGTTATTCTTGTATATAAAATAGTACTAAGACTGTGAAATAGTTGAGACAGAGAAAGTTGAAATTAGTTAAAATGTAATTTCTATAGCGACATAGTTAAAGTAAAACCAAGCATTTATATATTAAATGTGTATCATGTTTTGTCTCGCTAATTTTGTTCTATTGTGATAAAATTCTTTCTGACGACATCAGAACATATTCGAAAAGTATCAAGGTAAAAAATATCGATATTTCTCTAGTTGGTTGATTTTGTTTAGTGACATTTCAACCTCTAAGTGTTATTTAATGCCGAAATGTAAATATATTTTGAACACCATTTTATGGCTTCAGCTAAATGTATTTATGCGCAATTGTATGCCTTCAACTACAGATAAAATGTATTGTTGGTCATTTTGTTATAAATTGTTGGTAATTTTTACTATAAATACATTTTTTTGGTAATTTTTTTATATAAAAATGCAATTCTGGTATTCTTACTATAAAAACATACTTTTATACTTTCATAGTATTTTGCTTTTGTTTGCCGGGGTCACTATTTACCCATAGCTGGGACCCTAACAGATTCTACCACCCAGGATCAGGGTGGAACTAGGTACAATAGCAATTAAGAGGTGGTTCCACGCTCCTCAGAACCTCCAATCTTCCGATCAGAGGCCTTACTGCCGGATGTAGTTTGTCGTCATACCCAGGACTCTCTACGAAATTGCTTTATTTAATTTCTTCACCATATAATAAAAAAAATGTGCTCTTCGCCAGGGTTCTTTAAAGGGGTATTTGAATCTTGTTGAACTTTGACGCTCTTTGTGGCTAAGTGGAATAAAGTACGCTAGTTCAGACAGTGGTCGCCTATAAAAATGAGACACAAGTTCGCACTATGTCGGAGAGCACATTTCCTTTATTACGTCTCTCGAATACGCAAGACGAAAGACGTTAATTCAGATTGTTTTAAAAAAGAAAAAGGTGTCTACTCAAATATGAGTACCCACTAAAATAACTCTTCGAGTAATTAGAAATAATATCGAATTAAAAACAGTAATTCCTTAGAAATACTTGCATATTAAAGATGTTTTATTTTTTAACAGAATATGTAGATTTTTATATACACTGTAAGTCAAAATCTTAAGGGGAAAATAAAGAAAACATATACTTTTTGCGTTGTTAGACTCAACCACATATTTGAGTCGAGCTTCAAAATATGATAATTAAGAAAAGAAAAAAGAAAAATTTTAAAAGAATTTTTTAGTATTAAATAAGAAAAATTTGAATACTGGGAAATTATCCTAAATACAAGCAAAGGTTTAAGATCACATCTAAACAAAGCTTTAATTGGTGAAGACGTAACGAAATTTTGTCCTTTGTGCTCAAGTATTATCGCAGTTAACATTTTCCACTGGTATATCCAGCGTTACATTAGTTAAAACATGGCGAAAACTAAAAGTTGACAAAGTTTGAACATGGCAGAATTGTCGAGCTGCAAAAGCAGGGTATCTGTCAATGTGCTATCGTGAGATTGAACGTAGTAAAAATTCTATTGCAAATTTCTTAAAAGACCTTGAATGATACAGAACAAGAATTTCAAGTGGCCAGTACAATAAAATTTCTTCTGCGTTGAGCGGGAGGATTTGACGGGTTGTCCAGCAAGACACCAGCCGATCAGCAAACCAGATTAAGGCCAGTATGGACGCAGAATTCAGCTCAAGAACAATAAGACGACATCTCCGAGAGAAGGGCTTTGAAACCGTAAATGTCTTCCACATAACAAAACAGCTCAGTTAAACTTTGCTCAGAAGCGCCAAACATGAGACAGAAAAGTGGCAGAAGTTTTTGCTTTCTGATAAGAAAAAAATTAACATCTTGATCCAGATGGTTTCCAACGTTACTAGTATGATAAAGATATCCCACCGGAGACATTTTCTACAAGATGCAAGTGGGTGGGGGGCATCATGATTGGGGATGCTATCTCCTTCCAAGGAACAATGAAGCATCAGGTTCTATAGGGGCGTCAAACTGTGGATGGTCACATTGATATGTTAGAGAAAGCATTCTTATTCGTTGAATGTCCTCGCTAGTGTGGAAATGACCGGATCTTACAGCAGGTCAAAGCTCTAATCCATAATGCCAGTAGGACAAAAGATTTTTTTCATAGCGAATAACGTAATTCTTTTGAGCTATCCAGTGTGTTCGGCCGACCAAAACCCAATTAAAAATATCTAGGGTGGATGGCAAGAGAAATCTATAGAAATGGGGGTCAATTCCAAACAGTGCTTGATCTTCGTGAAACCATCTTCACCACTTGGAATGGAGTTCCAGCCAGTATTTTGCAAACGCATATATCGACCATAAG